CGTGGGGGAGTCGGGTTCTCCATGGTTATCCCCAGTTTTTGAGGGAGAGCCAGGGGTTGACTGTCATGGGGAAGGTTGTGATTTTGGGCTTGGCTCTTCTCGAATGTGTGATTTTAGTAGTGAGGGAGTTACTATTTGCGTAGGAAGGGATGTGAAAATCAAGCTAGATAACGTTATAGCCAACGTGTTTCTGAAGGAATTGCGTGACCATTTAGCATTGAAAGGCTTGCAAAGCAGTTCAGGAATTTCTGTGATTGACGAGGAGGCTAGGACGCCTTTGACTTGTGGTTCCCCTTCCTCTTCCAATGCTTGGGAGGGAGGTTCAGGTTCCTTCTTGGAAGGGGATTTGGGCTTGGTTCAGTGGGAAGGGAGTGGTGATGTTTTTGATTGTGTTGTACCTTTGGCTGCGATAGGACCAGAGGGGGAGTGTATGGAAACAGCAACCGTTGGTGTGGGTAAGGCGAGTTTGGAAGAGGAGTGGTTGAGAGAGAAGGGTGGAGAGGTGGGTTCTCTTTTGGGTGTGTCATTTGAAGGTAGATTGGATGAGGCGATGAGGTTGTTTAATGAGGTCATTGACGCTCAGATTTTGGAGAGGGCGGGTAGAAGTGATGGGTTGCTGATGGAGGAGGGGGTGAGGGAGGAGAGGAGTCCCTTTGATGTCGTCACTTATGAAAGGAGGAATAGGGGATCCCGGGAGAGGGACGGTGGAAGGAGGAGTGGGCGTGATTTTTCATCTGTTTCCTTATGAAGCTACGCCTTTTTTCATGGAACGTCCGGGGTCTCAATGACCCGCAGAGAAGAAAAGTTGTGAAGTCGGTGATTCGGAAAGAGGGTGGGCATGTTGTGTGTTTACAAGAAACGAAGATTGCATCGATGACGGACTTGATCGTGAGAAGTTTGGGGGGGGGGGGAAGATTTGTAGAGTGGATTGGTTTGGATGTGATTGGTTTTGCAAGTGGCATTCTTATCATGTGGGATAACTGTTGGGTCTTGTTGGGGGACTCTCTGGTGGGGCTCTTCTCGGTCTCTTGCGTTTTTTCTCTGATAGAGGATGGTTTTCGTTAGGTCTTCTCAGGAGTTTATGGCTCTACAGAAGACAATGTGAGACATTTGTTTTGGGAGGAGTTGGGAGAGGTTCGTAGTCGATGGGAGTTACCTTGGTGTGTTGGAGGGGACTTTAATGTTGTCCGCTCTCCTTTTGAGAGGTCGACAGGGGGAAGATGGACATTTGATATGGAGTCATTCTCAGAGTTCATTGATGAGTGGAGATTGATTGATTTGCCTTTGGTGGGTGGTCCTTTTACGTGGTCTAGTGGTCGTTCTCCTCCTCTCTTATCTCGTCTTGACAAGTTCTTTGTGTCGAGCGATCGGGAGGAGAAGTTCTTGGATGTGGTTCAGGCTACTTTGGCTCGCTCCTTATCTGATCATGTTCCTTTGATGTTGGATTATGGTGGGTTGCGTAATCGTCGTTCCCTTTTCAGATTTGAGAATATGTGGCTTCAAGCTGAAGGTTTTATAGAGAGGGTTAGATCCTGGTGGGAGGGTTATTGTGTGAGTGGCTCCCCTAGTCATTCTCTAGCAGGAAAGCTTCGTCTGTTGAAGATCGATCTGAAAGTCTGGAATAAGGAGGTTTTTGGTAATCTGAGTTGGCGGAAGAATAGGGTCTTTTCAGAGATTGCCGATATTGATCGGATGGAGGGTCAGGGTTCTTTGCCGGATTCCTTGAGACGTAGGAGGATGAAGTGTCAGGCGGAGTTTGCTGAGATTGTTGTTTTAGAGGAGATTTCGTGGAGGAAAAAGTCTAGAGCCTTATGGCTCAAGGAAGGAGATGAGAACACAAATTTTTTTCATAAACTTGCTAATGCTTATAGAATGAGCAATCATATTGGGAGGATCCGAGTTGATGGGGAGGTGTTGTGTAAGGAGGAGGAGATGTGCAAGGGTATTGCAGATTTCAACTCGAGATTGTTCACAGAATCAGATGGTTGGAGACCTTTGCTTGCAGGGATTCATTTTGACTCTATTTCGGGTGAAGAGAGCTCTGTTCTTGAGGAGCCATTTACTGAAGAGGAAGTGTTGTCCACGTTGAAGAGCTGTAATGGGGATAAAGCCCCAGGTCCTGATGGTTTCTCTATGAGTTTTCTTTCGAAGAACTGGGAGGTGGTTCGTGAGGAGATTATGGGTACTTTTCATGCTTTCCATGCCCAGGGCTCTTTTGAGAAGAGCTTCAATGCCACTTTTACTGTTCTCATTCCGAAAAAGGGTGGGGCTTTAGATATCAGGGAGTTTCGCCCTATTTGCTTGGTAGGGTGTATTTACAAGTTGATTGCTAAAGTCCTGGCCTCTAGGTTGAGGAAGGTTTTAGACAGCGTCATCTCTGATTCTCAGAATGCCTTTGTGGGAGGTCGCCATATTTTGGATTCAGTTCTTATTGCTAGCGAATGTGTTGATTCCATATTGAGTAGTGGGAATCCGGGTGTTTTGTGCAAGCTGGATATCGAGAAGGCGTATGATCATGTGAGCTGGAGTTTCCTCCTTTACTTTATGGAGAGGATGGGATTTGGGGAGAGGTGGAGGAGATGGATTATATTTTTGCATCTCTTGTGCTCGGGTTTCAGTTCTTGTTAATGGAGCTCCGACCGGTTTTTTCTCCAGTTCGAGGGGATTGAGACAAAGGGATCCTATTTCTCCGTTCCTGTTCCTTTTTGTGATGGAGGCCCTTAGTAGATTGATTCAGAGGGCGGTGGAGTTGGGATTCTTGAGAGGTTTTAGAGTGGGCAGGGATGCTACTGGCCAGTTGGAGATTTCCCATTTGATGTTTGCTGATGATACCTTAGTGCTCTGTGATGCTGCTGCAGATCAATTGAGGTATCTGAGATGTGTATTAGTTTGGTTTCAAGTTGTTTCTGGGCTAAAGGTGAATGTTGGTAAGAGTGTTCTTGTGCCGGTTGGGGAGGTCCCTGAGATTGAGAGGTTGGCGCAGATTCTTGGTTGTCGCACTGGCTCTTTTCCTATTTCCTACCTAGGGTTACCTCTGGGCGCCCCTTCAAGATGTGTGGGAAGTTGGGACCCAGTTGTGGATAGATTTGAGAAAACATTGGCGGGTTGGAAGAAACAGTATCTCTCTAAAGGGGGTCGGGTCACTTGATTAAGAGTACTCTTTCTTGTCTCCCCACTTATTTCATTTATCTTTTTCAGATTCCTTCCTCTGTGGCAGAGAGGATTGAAAGATTGCAGCGCAATTTTCTTTGGGGGGGGGGGGGGGGGGAGAGGGGAGGAGTTCAAGTTTCACTTGGTGCGTTGAGAGCAAGTTTGTTGTCCTATTCGGAGGGGTGGCTTAGGGATTAGGAGGTTGTTGCCTTTCAACAAGGCTCTCCTTGAGAAATAGCTTTGGAGGTTCGGGGTGGAAAGAAGTTGGCTCTGGAGGAGGGTTATAGCTCATAAATTTGGGGAGAGTAATGGAGGGTGGTGTTCTCTCATGGGCCGTGGTCCTAGGGGAGTCGGGGTTTGGATTGGCATTCGGAAGGGGTGGGATGATTTCTGTAAGCATGTCCGCTTTCGAATCAGGGATGGTAAGAGGATCAGATTTTGGGAGGACCTTTGGTGTGGGGTTTCCCCTCTTGCGCTTGCTTTCCCACGGCTTTATAGGATTGTTTCTCACAAGCAGGCCTTGGTGGTTGATTGTTATCATCTTGATAACGGGAGACTGACTTGGGATGTTCTATTTAGGAGGCATTTCCAGGATTGGGAGATTGAGGAGGTCACCCGGTTTTTGGCCCTTCTATATCGTCAGACGATCACAGCTGGGGATTCTGATTGTTGGCTTTGGCTCCCCAACCCTCAGGGGCGTTTCGAGGTGAGGTCATTTTTCAAGTGTCTTACGGTTGGCGCTGGAGGCTTCTTCCCTTGGAAGTCTATTTGGCGTTCCAAAGCCCCTCTCAAGGTGGCCTTCTTCGCGTGGACTTCTGTCTTGGGTAGGATTTTAACCCAGGATAATTTGAGAAGGAGGAACCAGGTGGTGATTAATAGATGTTATTTGTGTTTGCGTGACGAGGATACTATTGATTACCTTCTGCTGCATTGTAACATGGCTAGGGGATGTTGGGACTTGATGATTGGGTTGTTTGGGATCCCGTGGGTGATACCTAGATCCAATAGAGGGTTGATTGAGGCTTGGAGAGGTTTTTCAGTGGGGGCTCTCATTCGGGACGCCTAGAGGGCTACGCCTCTTTGTGTTTGGTGGTGTATTTGGCTTGAGAGAAATCGGCGCTACTTTGATGGAAAGGAAAAGCCTATCTCTATGCTTAAGTTCTCTATTCTTCCACTCTTTTTTATTGGGTTTCAGGGAGGGATTTTCAGTCTGTTGAGGAGTTGGTTGTCTTTTTGGCCTCTTTGAAAGCTTGAGGCGCTTTGGCCTGGTTTTTGTACTTGGGTTTCGCTCCCCTTTTGAGCGGTTCTTCAATTTTATTTTACTTATCAAAAAAATTTGAACACGGACTTGGAGACCGTCTTAAAGGAAGTCCGGTCCAATTTTTCCTACTAGAGGCCCAATTGGCTGATCGCCCAAGCCCACTTTTTTTTTTTTTTTTTTTTTCAGAGAAAATTGAAAAAAATAAAAAAAATAAAAAAATTAGAATAATCCTTTAACAGGGAATGTTTATTCGGTTCGGATTAGTCTACTCATTTTTCTTTTTCTTTTTTTGAAAATTCAACTGAAAGGATTTCAATAAAAATGATAAAATTCATTACGAGTATTCTTTTAGACAATGAATAGTCCCCCTCCAACAGTTCCAATATGATTTAAGATAGAGCCTTAATCTTTAGCCTTGTGAATTTGAAGAGAAGCCTTCTAAATTTGAAGAGAGACACTAAAGTAGTGCATACTTGGGGTGTGAGAAAGTACAAAAGACTCGAATGTGACATACTTTCAAAAATTTTAAAATGTATTTGTTTCAATTTTCGTAAAACAATTCTTAAGGACTAAAAAAAAAAAAAAAAAAAAAAAAAAAAAAAAAAAACTCTTTTCAAAGAACTATAAAATAAAATTCAAAAACGATTTTTTTTTTCCTTTTTTTTTTTTTTCTGAGTTTTCATACCAGAAAACCGTGGCATATTAATCTTATATTCATAGGCCAAGTGATGTTGCGCGGCTACAATGAAAACCTAATAGTTCAATCTCTTGAGTGCAAAGAATTCCTTAAGGCCACATCCACCGGTGAAAGTCCGAACTTTACCCAACCCATGTAGAGGGGCGCATATTGTGCACACTCCCACAGTCCCACTGCCCTAGACTTAAATATGCTACATAGACCTAACATGAACAAGAAACAACAATGCATCTCCACATCTAGCATTTTATAACTATTAGTTGAATCAATTCCATCATTTTTACAAATGAAAATTTTTGGCACTCATTAAGGAACATTTATTCCCAGAAATGAAAATTTTAGGCACTCGTAAAGGAACATTTCCGCCACTAGATTGAGCCCGTGATTCTAGGAAGAGTCTCACTACTGGGAAAATGAGAGATGGTTCAGCCGTTGCACTATTTCCATAATCTCCGCAAGCTAGCCTCTTAGTCACGGGTGAGACTAGAGAAATTCCGCTCCATAAAAGGATTATTCCATGAAGGTGTTCGTGGCTGGCGTCACAAAGAATGGCTTACTGTAGTCCCCTGCTCGCACATTGCAGGTCAGCAGGCTGTCACACAATCCCCCAGCAATCTACAGTAGAACACCATGATATCATCCCACTCGCGGAGCTCATGTGAAGTTGCGACTGCTCTTACTTGGATGGCAGCAAGTAGAATCCGTGGCTTTCTTGGAGCAGCATTTACTTCTATTTGCTCCCTTTATGCACTTACTGGATCTGAGTATTCCATAACCTATTCAAAAATCCCAACGATTTTCTTATGAGTTACTGACTTGCAATCAAACCCAAATTCCTTGTTATCATAATCAATTTAACCTATGTACATGAGCGTATGTCTAACATATCTATATTACCACTGGACATTGAACAAAATAAGACTCAATTCTTAGTATACTCTGACAAGTCTTAGTATATGAACCCTCCAATTCAAATATTGAAATTATATTACCACTGGACATTGAACAAAATAAGACTCAATTCTTAGTATACTCTGACAAGTCTTAGTATATGAACCCTCCAATTCAAATATTGAAATTCTTGGAAAGGTGTGATAAATCTGGATCACTGAATTTTCCATTCTGAACCAATTTTTTTTTTAGTGCAAACACCTAAAAGGCTTAGGGTTCCCCCACAAAATCTAACTGTCAGCGTAAAAGAAAATTTTGGTAATAAAAGACTTATTGCATATTAATTTGAATTTCTGAACCCTCTTTTCTAGAAATCACTTCATTTCATAGTATATGTAATATAGAAATGAATGATGTATTCTCTCTCTTCCAAAAAATAACTGTGGATCGTGTAATTCTTACTCTCAAACTCTATTGTATCTATTATAAAAAGAGTGCAATGTGCTCCTCTGCTGATCACCAATATAATCCATGAAATCCAGGTGTTGTTAGCTCATGCTAGTCATTGGTCTCTTTCTTGTGTACCATGATCTCGAAACAAGGCAGCCCATCATAGCTAATATGATCTCTCTCTCTCTCTCTCTCTCTCTCACCTTGGGACATTGAGAATTCTCAGAAAAACCCCAAAATATGTATCAGATCTTGTTCAATATTAATGTTGGTTTACTAAATTCTGTAGCTGTTGACTACTGTTTTAGACACCATTTTTGAAACAAATTATAAATTATAGCTTCAAATTGAATCTGACTAACAAAATATACCTATGACACATCACATTATCTGAACTTTCTTGTTTCTAAAAGTTTCTCTAAAAGAGTGTTTTGCAAGCAGTGGGGAATTCAAGCCCCACTAAAGTTGTCTTTTAAGAATATATAATATGATGAATTGTTTTGATGTTCTTACAGATAAACCAAAAATCCATCTAAAAAAGAAAACAACAGATACTACAATTATATGTACACACACATAGAGAGAGGGCTTGGTAGGGGGAGAGGGAGCGGAAAGGAAGGGAGGACCAAGCCCCTCAGATACTTCTGCCAAAATTGGGCAGCGCCTTTCATATATGCACACGGTATACACATACATACAGGGCACACAACATTTTATGAATGTGTGCATATGCATAAAGGTATATTGTTGTTTAATCCTATAAAGGAATCCTATTTAATGTATTAAAAAGCCTTTTCAATTCTTGGTGTATGATGTTCAAATCACAAAATACCTATTCCCTTCCTTTTCATTTCCTTTCAAGTCAACCAAAAAACATGAAAGAAAGGCTCATTGGTTTCTCCAAGTATAGGTGATTGGTTTGTAGTCATCTTTCATCTAATTTTCCATCCTTCATACAAAAAATTAAGCATAGGGGTGACACGGAAAAGGAAAGTATGTGCATAGACTAGAGGAAACAACCACCAATGACTAAAAAATTGTTTATGGAACAAAGCAAATAACTTACCCACTGTTTGTCACAATACACTTCATGCTAGCAGCTTTGGCGGCTGCAAGACCTATTGCGCTGTCCTCAACCAGAACACAACTGCGAAAAGTGAAGAAATATATCATAATCTTTACAGCACTTCCACAATTCATCAATAATGACAAAGTAAAAGCCAAAGAATGATGTATTAGAAAACATGACATCATAATTAATTGTGTGGTTATTAATCACAATTTATATTTTGGATCTTGAACTTCATGATCATCACTAGTTAGTAAAACATTAATGTATGTTTGGCATAAATAATGTATAATCATAAATACCTTGATCCATATGTGCGGAGATGTTGAAATATCGAATGAACAATAATCACCTCTTTGATTAATCAAGAAGATCTAGAAGATGGTTTCTCTCCCTTAATCCCTTCTATACACTTTACTCACTTATGTGTTGTATCTATAATGCGTATAAATGATGGCAACTACACTTCTATTAGAATGGGGTAGAGAGAGGACCGACGCTTCTGCTATTTATAGGCAACTTAACTACAGACCATCAAGTAGAAGAATTGCAAATTGGCTGATCAATTATAGCTATCATTCATAGCTTTCAGTGTAAAGAAATCATAAGTTAATAAAAGATCATAAAGCAAAGGAATCAATGAGACGGAAACAATAGGAAATATACTGAATGGAAGACAAACCAAAATAGGAAATGTCATAAAGCAAAATAATCAATGAGATAGCTTCAATGGAAGACAGACCAAAATGGGTAATGTCGGAGGATTAAACAAATATGTGGTGTGTCATTATTCTTAATATGGTGAGTCATTATTCTTACATGATGGACTTCAAAAACATCTACTAAAACTAAGTAATATATGCAAACAGTCATCAGCTTCTTCACCAATCAGAGAGGACGTTTTTGAACTACTCAACATGAGTACATATTTGGAGGCACCACAAGGCAACAACAATTTGGAAACATCATGTCTTGTTTACTTGGCAAATGAGAGGCATATTTTGTTTCTTATAGCACTTGAAACAAGTCTTTTCCATTGCAAATATAGCGAACTCGTAAGGTTTTCAAATTATGAAGCCATATGTTTGAGATTCACAAAAGAAAAAGAAAAAGAAAAAAAAACAAAAACAAAAACAAAAAACAAAACAAAATTTCAACTGTGATAGAACAAAATCAAATAATATAGCTTCCATATATTATTCAAACACTACAAAAATACTAGGCCGGACAAGAAGTTTACTGGATCAGGCTTTTTACAAGGAACAACATCTCCTGCAAATATCTTAATTTTTTCTGCTTGCTCGGGTCCCAGCAAGAATGAAACCATTGCAGAGACCTGAAATCACCAGAGACATTCCACTTGTCAAACCAATTAGTATACTTTTTTTTTTTTTTTTTTTTTTTTTTTAATAAACTAACTCAAACAAATAAGAAGATCAAAGCTTCTTTACTATAATCACGAAGAATGGACAACTTGACATTTACCCTAAAAGAACTTTTTGTATTGTAGTAATTTATTTTATTCACATCAAGAAAGTAAATTGTTAAAAGAGGCTAAAGGGTTATCAAATAATTAATTAATTCCTCAAGAGCACCTGGTTCTAGAACCATCTCCCAAGGTAACTTCAAAAACTCTAAACCATTGTATTTCTTAAAAACAATAATAAAATATATTAAAGCCATCAAGAGTATCTGATTTCTAAAGACGACACTTCTTAACCAATTAAACAAATAACTTGAAAACTTCTAATGAGAAGCATTAGGTCTAAGGGTTTTTTTTTTCCTAAATGAATTAACCATAGAATTATTTTATGTATCATTAGGTCTAAGGTTCGACTCCTCTTGGGTGCAATCAATTCCTTGGAAGGGGGTGTATGAGTACCAATTAAGAAAAAATAAAATAAAAGGAAGAAGAAGAATGCCTACATATGTTTTCAACACCAAAATTCGATTTCTAAGCAATCTCTAGGGAAACTTAAAGACGACGCTTCTTAACCAATTGAACAATTAACACCAATGAGCCAGTGGCATAGCGGTATCAGCCTTTTACTTCTAATGAGAAGTATTGAAAAGGAATGCCTACGTATGTTTTCAACACCAAAATTCTTGACATAATGGAAGGCTGGAAACTAAATAATCAAAAGAGAAAAGTGAAAAGTGAAATCATACAACCAAGCATACTCACTCAACATCTTACACCACCTTTCAAGAGTGTGTCCGACTCTTGAATGTCTTTGTTTGAGCAGAACAGGTAAGACTCGTGAAGGAATTGTTCGTTATTCTCCTTAAAGTTATTGATAAATTTGGGACCCAATTTGTCCTTGCTGGGACATGGATGTCTTACCAAAGAGGGAAAAGAATTTTTCTTTTTTTAAAAAATAAAAAATAAAATAAAATGACCCAAAATGGAATAAAGGAATATTTAGGGTTTTTAATTTCTAAGGATTCAGGATCAAAGCGGGTTAGTACTGTATACAAGAGTGTACTTAACCACTCATGAACTGAAACAAAATGTAGTTCCTAGAATAGTCAGCGCTGGTGTAAAATGATATTGCAACATTATCCCATCAATTCATGATCTCAGGACAGCCATCATTCTGAACATTGGTGTGGTAAGTGATTATGACCAATATTTACAAGTAAATGAAAGCAACTACTGAGCTCAAAATCGCAGCTTAGCTAAGCAAAATCAAACATTAGCTTAATTTTGCAACTCTAGGCCGAAGGGGCAGCAACTTTTTCTCAATAAGGGCCATGAACAACTCCCTCTTTAGCTTGTGAAGTAAAGCTATAAATTCCTTCCTTTCTTCCTCGCTCTGAGCTTTGTCCGGCCAACCTATCTAGTTAAAGTAGGCTGTCATCTTAAAAGAAATGGAATCAACCACTAATAAAAACAACTCTTGAAGTACCTCACTAACAAAAGAGATGAAAGCAGCCCATTAACAAATTCAACTCAAATAGTTACACCATCTACTACTTTTACCAACAAAATCAAACCATAATGGTAACACTTGTATAACTCAAAAGAACTACTTATGAACTTCTTTAGAAAAGTGAAAACCTCTCTTTTCCACCTCCAATTTTGAGCAATTTGCCATATAACTCCACATCCCAGGTAACATCCAATTCCCTCTGGGCAACCAAATTCATTATGTGATCAATCCATGAGAAAATTGAGGCATTTAACACAAAACACACAGATATACACAACAACCCAATTCATAAAACATCAAATTTATTCGAAAAGTGATAAGCATGATAATAAATGATCAAAAATCAAGAAAGAGTGGTGTACACACAAACCGAATTGATAAAACATCAAATTAATTCGAAAAGTGAAAAGCATCATCATTATTAATTAAAAATAATAATCCAGAGACAGTCGAGTGTTACTTCTGAGAAAGTGTTGCAGAAGAAATCCTATGGCCCTCTTTTTCTGTGTGGACAAGCACACCATCGCAGTCAAAGAGGAGTGCAGAGGGAAGAACAGAAGGGGCAGAATCTGACCATTTCTCTTGCTCCTGATGGTCACAGGACTTGTTTGTGAGGTTTCGTTGATGCATGGAAATTCTAGAACCGACCGAGTATGGAAGATGATAAGGTCCTCAAATGGACACGGAGAGAAGAAACAGAGGTTTTGGGGTGAGAGAGTCGCTGAAGAAGAAAATTAGGTGCTGGATGGAGGAGAGATGACGGTTGACGCCATTGGAGTCTCTCCCGTCTCTATGCTTTCATTTGGAGATGAACAGAACGGCCTTGTGTAAACTTTATCCAAAGGTATGTTTGGGACCGTGGAAAAAAAAATAAAGCAAGGAAAGGTCCCAAAGAAAATAAAGAAAGGAAAGGAAGAAGAAGAAAGTGTTAACCAATTTGGTTTAGTTTGGATACGGAATTACGGATGAGAGAAAAGAAATCAAAAGACAATATTAGTTACCAGATAAGAAAGTGTTAATTAACTTGGTCGGTTTGGCTTAGTTTGTATACAAAGGATGGAAAATAATTGAATAACAATATTAGTCACAACTTACGAGATAAGAGAAAATAAATAAAATGATAACAATAATTTACATTTATGATTAAATAGATGGGAGAGTAAAGAAAAAGAATGTTAGTGTTGTTGTTTGGATAAGATAAATGAAAAAAAAATTACTATCATACCTTTTTTTTATAATTTTATATGTGATTTTTTAAGCCATAGTTATAAAAGTATCACTAATTCACTTTCATTTTCCTCCAAATCTTCTCATTTTTGGAGCAATACAATATGACATTCCCAATCATTTCTTTTCAACTCAAATCATTCCATCCAAACATAAGATTCCCCATCCTTTCTTTTCTTTTCTTCTCTTCTCTTTCCCTATCCCCCAAATCCTCCCAACCAAATGAGGCCTTAATGGAAGAAAATAAGAAAAGAAAGTAATTATATTTGATACAAAAATTATTTTAATAAATTACAACCATGACTTTTTCATAAGTTTTGTCTTTTACAAAAAAAAAAATGTAAATTTAGTATTAATAAAGTTTCATTAAAAATAAGACATTTCATTATTCTACCCTTTATTATGTTATTGGACGGACCAGGAAAGTATTTGAGTGGGGAGGCTTTTAATAAAATAATATGGTGGGGGTAATAGTAAAGTTTTTCTATAATTTTAGGGAGATAAAATTTAAATTTTATAGGTATATAAATAAATTAAAAAATTAGTAGGTATAAAATAAAATAAAAGACAATTTTCCTTTCTTTCTTCCAACATTTCATACCAAAAGCAATTTATCCTCTCCATCCATTACTATTCATTTCATCCATTAGTATTCATTTCTTTTCCTTCCATTTTCATTATTATGCTCCAAAAAGAAAGAAGATAAAAGGTGAATGGATAGTCTGACCAGACTTGTTCACTGATCCTTTTAACCTTTAAATCGTTTATTAAATCGAGTATAATGAAAAAATTGTGATAATGGCTTACTAAATTCTTTAAAATAACTTTCATTTTAGATTTTTTTTTTTCCTTTTTAATTTTAAAAATAAAATAAAATTAAAATTTGTTTCAAAGTATTTTCATTTTTTTTATAGGCTACCATTAAATTTTTTTTTTTTTTTTAAATAATTTTCAATAGCAATATGTTCAATGAGTTATTTGTATTAATTTTAATCTTATATTAAGGAGAATAATATTAAGGGTGTGTTAGGCCGCGTAGAATTGAAGTCTTGGAATTAGAATCTATGAAATTTGATAACAATAACTAAAAAAATTAAACCAAAATTTTCTCAAATTTAATCAATTCCAATTCCGAGACTTCAATTTCATGCAACCGAACACACCTAAGGATTATTTTTAACATTATTACCTTGCAACAACTGGATAGTTCAAGAGTGGTGTGCACGATGCACCCAATATCTACTTGTCAATGAGAGCACAATCATACTTGTCCAATTTATCATGTGAACTTGTAGCTACATGCACGAGATGAAAATTTCACCTTTAAAAAATTGAAGAGAGAAAAAAAAAATCTAAAATGAAAATCATTGTAAAAGAAACCTATTCATTATTATAATGTTGCATAATTTTCAAAATTTTCTAAGTTTCTCCTTTAGGCTCGTTTGCTTAGACAGAAAATTTTATAGAAAGTGAAAGTGAAAGAAAGGAAAATCAAGTTTCTATCATGCATTTGGTTAGCAGAAAATATTTTAAAGAAAGTTGTAAGAAAATATTATTTTATTTATTTGGATAGCATGAAAATGAAAAAAAAAATGATTCTACTTACCAAAAATACCCTTATAATTTTAAATAGTAAAAAAATAAATAAATTTATGTTTGATATATATTATTTATACTTAATTATTTATTTTAGTAAGGAAATAGTGAAATATGGAATAAAATAATATGTGATATCATAATACAATTTTTTTGCTTTCTCCTTTCTCTATATATATTTGCTTTCTCCTCTTTCTATATATATTCACTTGTTCCCGTGTAAACTTGAATTCTCAATCTTTAATGTAAGAAAAATAAGTTTTTGGTAAAGTGGACTATCAAAGTTCAAGTATTTATTTTCTCTTTATGTTAGTTTTAATTTTATTATTTATTATTTATTTGTAAATGATGTAACTGGATATTATATATCTAATTACAACTTTCTCACTGAGAAAATAAAGTCATAGATAGATTGTGTAAACTATTTACGAATCATCAATTATTTATTTCAAGATAATGTTTGATGTTAGGTATGAAACAAATTGTGTTAAGATAATGTAAACTAGTTTTCACCTAACACTCTTGTTATCAACAAATAGTTATGTATATATATAATAACTTTTAATCATTATCAATTATAGAAAAAAATATTTTACTTATTTAAGACATTTCAAAAAAAAAAATGAAAAAAAATAATTCAGTAATAAAAGGAAAAAATTAATTAATTTTGGATGCACATATAAAAAAATACAAACAATTTATTTAGTAATGCATGATTTTATAAAAAAAAGCAATTTATAGATAGCGGGACCACTCACTCATCTGACTAAGAAGGGTGTACGGTTCGTGTGGGATGAACATTGTCAGAAAGCTTTTGATGAGCTGAAGACTAAGTTGACTTCTGCATCGGTTTTGTCTACCCCACAGAGCGGAATAGAGTATCTGGTTTACACGGATGCTTCTTTACAGGGTCTTAGATGTGTTTTGATGCAGGAGGAGCGACCGATTTCGTATGGATCTCGAAAGCTTAAGCCTCACGAGCTTAATTATCCAACACATGATTTGGAGTTGGCAGCTGTGGTCTTTGCCTTACGTATTTGAAGGTATTATCTGTTGGGTGAGTCCTTCAAGTTATTTAGCGATCACAAGAGTTTGCAGTACTTGTTCACTCAGCGGGAGTTGAATATAAGATAGCGCAGATGGTTGGAGTTTGTGAAAGACTATCACTTTTCTATACAGTACCATCTAAGGAAAGCGAATGTGGTGGCAGATGCACTTAGTCGCCGACCTGTTGGTAGTCTTTCTGCTCTGTTCGCTACGGAGTGGAATGCTTTGAGGACAGTGGATGAGTTGTCGGATGCTTTCATGGCTTGTATGGTAGTTACACATTCTATTATTCACAAGATTTTGAAGGCATAACTCACGGATCAGTAGTACATTGACAAGGTTGCAGAGATAGCTTCCAGAGAGGTTCCATTCTACTATGTTGGGGCTGATGGAGGTTTGAGGTACTAGGGATGGTTAGTGGTACCTTCTGCTGATGATTTGAGGAAGGATGTGATGACTGAGACTCACTACTATGAGTTTTCTGTTCATCCAGGAGGCGATAAGATGTATCAGGATATGAAGCGGCAGTTTTGGTGGGCAGGTATGAAAAGGGACATTACTCTTTTTGTCTCTCGATGTAGTACTTGTCAGATGGTCAAAATTGATCATCAGAGGCCGCCAGGAGCTCTACAGTCGCTGCCGATATCGGAGTGGAAATGGGAAAGCATTTCTATGGACTTTGTGGAAGGATTGCCAAATTCCTTCAAGGATCACAATTCCATTTGGGTTATCGTGGACAAACTAAAGAAATCAGCTCATTTCTTGCCTATTCGCACTAACTACACTTCGGAACAGTTGGCGCGACTTTACATTACTGAGATTGTGAAGTTACATGACATTCCCTTGTCTATTATATCGGACAGGGATTCGAGCTTTGTGTTTGGATTCTGGAAGAGTTTCCAGCAAGCTTTGGGTACGGAGTTACACCTTAGTATTGCTTATCATCCTCAGACTGATGGACAGATTGAGAGGGTTAATCAGATTATGGAGGATATGCTTCGGTCGTGTGTTCTTGATTTCAAGGGCCACTGGGAGGATTACTTACCGCTTGTGGAGTTTGCTTATAATAATAGTTTTCAGAAGACTATTGGGATGGCACCAATTGAGGCGTTATATGGCCGACCGTGTCAATCACTTGTTTGTAGGATGGAGGTTGGCGAGAGCTGATTTTTGGGTCCTGAGTTCATTAAGGATACTTCCGAGAAGATCGCTCTTATTAGGGATCGTATGCGTACTGCCCAGAGTAGGCAGAAGAGCTATGCTGATCGTCGCACTCATGCTTTGGAGTTTCAGGTTGGGGATCAGGTTCTACTCAAAGTGTCTCCTATGAAAGGAGTCATGCGCTTTGGAAAGAAGGGGAAGCTGTCACCACGGTTTGTCGGTCCGTTTATGATTATAGATCGAGTTGGAGCTGTTTCTTATCGGTTGGTGTGATACCCCCGAATTTCCGAATGCGGGTTGGCCAGGCTCACGCCCGAATTTCCGAATGCGGGTTGGCCAGGCTCACGCCCGAATACCTGAGGATATCAAAACAAATTGATAATAAACGAACACAGAGTACAAAAGAATAAAGAAGAATAAATAAAATGCTGACAAGAAACTAAAATGATAATCTAATAATAAACCTCATAATATATTTCCATTAATTAATAAACTCTTCTGATACAACTGATCCTCCAAAATACAACTCGAGAATCCATACTGTGCGGACCCCTAGAAAATCCAAACTAAACAAATGACAGTATTCTAAAACAGGAAACTGAATCATAAAGGAACTCCTATGTAGCATCGGAAGAATGAAGTAGACTAATCCCTGCTCAGCACGAACAACCTCTACTCGTGACGAACACCTGAAAAATAATGGTGGGTCAGGCCCACAAACAAATTATGCTCTACTACAGTCCAAGCAGAGATCCGATACACTTATACATCCTAGTCAATCCAACAGTAACTAGTAGTCCGTATATATATATATATACACTAAAAGAACCTCACTAGACTATAGGGTTGTCTCAATCTGAATAGTAGGCAACATGCACAACGCACATATAGTGGGCAT